GTCATATAGGAAAAAAAATCAACATACCCAAAACCAGTACCGTGCTTAGGCTACTTCCCATCGCGAAACCATTAATCTGCTTGTAAAAATCGCCATCAAAATTAGACATTATTCGTGATACACAAACGAATGTTGAAAAAACAATGAACCAAAATACAGATTTTGTGAAGGTATGAAGAAAGTTTTCTTTTAAGAAAGAAAAGTACATCGCCAAGTGGGACACTTGTAAATAGGGAATCCACATCAAAACACTATTTTCTTCTCTATGAAATCCATCGAACGTTTGATATTACTATCAGAGAAAAATTCTAGCTAGCCAGTGTCTAATGGACAGGTACAGGACGTAATAATAAGCGTTAAAGGAACGCTCTGTTTGTGAAATTTGGGAAATCCATAAAAATACGGAACAGAAAGATTTAACGTTCTAAAGTAATCAAAGATATTGGGGTCTTAATGTCTAGCACCCACCCTTATCCTTTGCCTGTTGTTGTCGTGAGGGGGTTTAAGAGACGAGGACTGGGACCCAATACTGGGGATCTCCCCTACCTTGTGCATCAGCCCTCGACTCAACTAATTTTGCATGGTGTTTTTTCCCTCCTATTTTTTTTTCGTTTCAATCCCTTTTCCAACCCCTTCTACTCTCCACTTGCTAAGGTGTGAGAGCAGTGCTGAAAGGATGAAAGGCTGACTTTGTGCCAGTCTAGCCTTTACTCCTCAAAGGGATACTGAGAGGTGGTTTGTTTCTCTTCTTAACAGAGTCTAGGCTTACCATGGCCAATGAAGACGTAATACCCTTGTTAGGGGCAATGAGGCTTGCCCCTTCATCAAATAGCCCCATCAACTCAAACTCTCCCGGTTTCCCAACCCCAGGCTCTCCTTTGACCATGACTGTACACCGCAACCCACTTCTCAATGCCTAGCAGTACATTATCCACCAAAGTCAAGACAGTCTCCAGAAGGCATTCCTATTCTCCCAACATTCTCAATTTCATCACCTCTACCCCCATAACCTTCATCAATCACCCCATCCTCCCTTATTGCTACTTTCCAGCCTTATTGTCCACTTCTCCGTAATACAACCTCCCTCAACACTAATTACTCCCACTTCCCCACGTCCCCGTCCTTCTAACACCCCCATCTCTACAAATGTCTTAAATACTTTACTTATCCAAGCCAAATGGGACCGATTTTTTCGCTATCCCTCCCACAGCTCCTTACTCTGACAACACTTCTCTTTCAGCAATGTCTCCAAAAACAAGCAGGCAAAGTCTCTTTCCTTAGCCGACCTGATCGTTCCCGTCTTGTTACAGTTACATCTGAAACCCAAATTAAACCATTATCAAACCTAACTAATCTCTCTAGCAATCTCATTCCTGCAGAACCTCATCCAACCCTTAGTAGTTGTACTGGAACTGTCTCTATCTCCCCAGCAAACTGCCCCATCTATAACAAAAATTGGTCAGATTGTGGAGAAGACTTGCTCGCCTGACACAGACTATGATGTACTATCAGTACATCAAACTCATTGTAAGAACCCTACCAACATTGCCAAAATTACTTTCTGCAGATACGACCTTCCCTTTAATGTTTACACTGGTAGAAAATCCCTCCCTGTCCGACTATATCAACCTCCTCCCTGTCAATGTCAAAATTGTTGGTGTTTAGGACATCCTGCAAAACACTGCTGTTCCACAGCCTGGTGTCCTCTATGTGCCCAACCTGGTCATAACCAATCAAACTGCTCTGCACAGTAATGCACATGTGCTAATTGCGGTGGCTTCCATGTATTTTATAGGGGCTGCCTCACCTACAAATTTGAGTCTGAGGTGGCAACTCTCTGATACAGACTTGGTCTCACTCTACATAAAGCCAGACAGGAAGCACGTTGATGAGGTTTTCTCACACTCCCAACTCCAGTAATGTCATTTGCTCTGCCCCTCCCCCTCCCCCTCTCTCCCGAGATGTTCCTACATTATCCCCTATACCTATTCCTTCTACATTTTACTTCCCTACTTCTACCTCCTACCTTCCCGTCAAATTCTTTTTCCATTCTGAATCCACACTCCGATTTCTACTGCAGCCCCAACACTTCCCCTCTCCCACCCCGCACTACCCGCAGCAGACTAAACATTCCACACACTCATCTCCACCTATCTTTGCCTCAACTCCTCAGACACTAGTCTCCTTTTCCCCCTCATAAGAAAACCTTTTTCTCACAAAACTCCCCAACCAACTCGTTTACAGAAACTCTTGAAAATGTTCAAAACTATCTGCTCGGGTCCCAAATTGACACCGAAAACCCTCATCCACTCTCAAATTCCACAACTCACGCTCCCTCCACACTCAAAGTGACTGTTGATATCCGTCCTCCTGCTACTCGTATTCTCTCCCATCTCTCCTGCTACTCTCTCCCAACACAGCCCATCCTCTTCAGCTCCAACTACACCTACATTAACCCTCCCTCCATCCCCTCTATCCCTTCCACTCCCTCCTCGATGTTTATGAATCCCTTATGTCACAACTATGCCCTTCCCCAGATCCTCCACCTTTTGATACCCCTCCTGATACTTCACCCTAGCTCCTCCCTCTTCAAATTCTTCAACACGCACTGTAACCGTTATCACTCGTAAATCAACTAAGTTTTAGCTCTCCTACATTGGAATAATCGCGGTTTCCAGTCTCACAGACCTGACCTTCATCATATCCTTTCTTCTAATGACCCATCCATTATCTGCCTCTAAGAGACTTTTATTACCAATTCCTAACTACCATTTTTTCTCCTCACACTCCCTTTATGTTTCGACTACACTTATCCATCAGAAAATACCTTATGCCATACCTACCTTTCAAACCACTGTCCCATGCACAATTGTTCGCACCTTTCTTTGCTGCTGGATCAGATTTCAGTCTACTTCTCCCCTTCCCACCCATTGACTTAGTTGCCTTTGAAACTCTAATTTCCCTACTCCAGCCACCTTTCCTTGTAGTTGGTGATTTTAACTGCCGACACACTCTTTGGGGGTGATTCTATCACCACCTCTCATAGCCGATCCCTAGAATGCTTCCTCTCCAAAAATGACCTTATTATTCTTAATTCGGATCACCCCACACACTTTGACATATGCACACAATCCTTTTCATGCCTTAACCTCCCTTTATGCTCCCCTTCTCTCCAATTAGACTTTCCTCGGTCAGTTCTAGACCACTTTTCTGATAGTGACCCCTTTCCAGTCTTCCTTTCTCCTACTTCATAACCACTTCCTAATCCTCCACGCCAGTGCTTTGATAGAGCTGATTGGTATACTTTCACTTCACTCTCTATTCCAACCCCACCATCACCCTTATCGTCTATTTCAAATTTGCTACAAGGTTTCGCAGCTATAGTCCTAAGAGCTGCCTATAAAGCAATTCCTTGAACCTCAAGACCTTTATACCTCCGTGTGTCCCATGGTGGAATTCTGATTGCACCAAAGCACTTTGCTTAAAACATGCAGCCTGGAACAGTTATCGCTACAAACAAGGCACCCCTGATCAGCTATCGGCCCTTATCTCCTTTGAAAGAGTATCTGCCTGTCTTCGTTGTACAATCGGAAACAGTAAAACATAGCTGGCGAAATTGTTTCCTGGCAAACATCCCCCCATCCAGCCCCGTCCTCCATATTCGAGATACTCTCATCTCTGATCCTTTCCAAGTTGCTAATGAACTGGGTGACTATTTTAGCCAAGTTAGTAGTGGCTCTCACCTTTCCCCACACTTCTCTTCCATTAAGACCATCTGAGAATACACCCCAGTGATCTTCACCCTATCCTCTGTTGAGTCCTATAATGCTCCTTTTTCTTCCTCTGAACTCAATGCTGCCTTACAATCGTGCCGCAACACTCTGAAGGAATTCACTAGCGTATACTCCAACACCTATTAACTATTCCCACCACGTAAAGAGGGTACCCTCCCTCAAGATTACTGCCCCATCGCTCTAACTGTACAAACTACTAGAAATAATGGTTAATTCTGTTTAATGTGGTATCTTGAATCTCACAATCTTCTCTCTCCTTCCCAGTTTGGTTTCCAATGTGCCCGAAGTACAGCTGACCCCTTTGCTTATTACGAGACATATTACATCTGCATTTGCACGCCATCAATCTGTATTAACCATATTCTTTGATCTTGAAAAAGCACACCACATGACAGTACCATATTCTCCAACAATTATCCTCCTTCGGCATACACGGACACAGGGGTGTCTTCATAAAGTCTTTCCTCTCCAAATGCACTTTCCAGGTCAAAATTGCCTCTTCCACATCATCATCCTTTCCTCAGTTCGAAGGCGTTCCACAAGGCAGTGTGCTCAGCACCATTTGTCCTTCTTGCTGTTTCTATTGCCTCAGTTCAACCACTAGGAGTCTGGGCATTACTACATGTTAATGATCTACGCCTCTGGCACATCCATACTAAATCTTCGCCAATTCCTTCAGTCTGCAATATCATCAGTATCTTCCTGGTCCACTAATCATGGCTTTTGCTTTTCTACCTCCAAATCTTTCTTCATCCTTTTCTCCCGCAACTATGTAGGTCCCCAACCTCTACTCTTTTTACATGGCGCTCCACTCCAATACCGTTCCTCTGGAAAATTCCTTGGCATTATTTCTGACTAAATTGTCTTTTATATTAAACAACTCATTGCTGCCTCTGATTCTTACAAACTCTTTTCCACACATCCTGGTGCTTAGATCGCAAATCTCTCTCCCAGCTTCATGTTACCTTGATCCTCTCCACTCTTGATTATGGATACCATATCTACTCTGCCTCAACCTCCCTTCTTGCTCACCTTGATACAATCCACCACTGCGGTCTCCGCTTAGCCCTAGGCGCCTTCCGCTCCTCTCCAGTTGAGAGCCTGTACATTGAGTCAGGCATGCCATCTCTCTCTCGACACCGTACCCTTCTCTCTCTCTCCGATGCTATGCTCGATTCCACCAACTTTCCCTCACCAAACTAACTA